TTATCCTTTAAAGGAATTTTCACACTTAAATTTAACTATTTCAAAGGTCTACTTTTCCATTACATTTATGCAAACAACTGGGTGTATACATGAACAGAAATTGAAAGTTTGCATTCAAAATGTTTTGTAAGAAATCCCTATTTCTCCATCTTGGTTTTAATAATTCATTTTTGATTACTTTTATCAATTTCATTTCACTTCATTGACATCAATATGTCTTTTATCTCATCATCTGTTATCTCATTTCATTCCTTATTGATTGATTCATTTGATACTTTTTACACTGGGACTTGAAATACAACCATCAACATCTCTATTGTATATTTTTACAGATTGACTAACCAAACTCTCTTTTTAGTGGAATTATCTATCATTCTACCGAGTATAAATATGACTGTACAACTTGATAATGAAATTGTTGAAAAGAAATACTTCTTCTTCCTCTTTCCATTCTCCTTCTTCCCATTCTTCTTCCCATTCCTCCAATTCTCCTTCTCATTCTTCCCATTTTTCTCTTTCTTCTTCCCTTTTTTCACATTTTTCTTCTTCCCATTCCTCACATTCCTCTTCCCCTTCCCATTCTTCTTCTTCTTCCCATTCCTCCAATCCCTCATCTCCTTCGCATTCCTCTTCTTATTCCCATTCTTCTCCTTCTTCCCATCCTTCTTCCTCTTCCCATTCCTCCAATTCTTCTTCTCCCTATTCTTCCTCTGATTCCCATTCTTCCCCTTCTTCTTCCCATTCCTCCAATTTTTCTTCTTTCCATTCTTCCCATTCTTCTTCCTCTTCCTCTCCCCATTCTTCTTCTTTTTCACTGATACACATGTTTTGTTCTAATTACTGATCCCCTGTACTTGTTTCATAAGTGACTTCGATAGCCTGAAATGGTTAATCCCTTTAGTGTTTGTAACAATCGTTGGTGAGTTGAATTTTCAACTGGAATATCGCCCACCCACCAATCTCATTGGGATGAATGAACTACATTCAACTGAAATATGTCCCAAATAGACTGGAACTTGTTAACAACAATTAAATTACATGAAAATGATTCATTCATATCTCAGTTTTATTTTGTATTACTGACTACTTATAAACAGAAAACGTCTTGTAATGTATTCTGAAACCTCGCCTGGTTAACTAGTTCACTGGTTACTAGCCGGTCATAAGCCCGGGTAAAGAGGGAAGGTTGGGCATACGGCTAGCAACCCTACTCCGCAAAACAAATCTAACCGCTAAAGAAACTTCAAAGCACAAACAAAATATAGAAAATAATAACAAAATTATTTCTCACTGGAATCGGAGAGGCGAAATGACGCTGGTTGGTGGAAACCCTCAGGAAGCCGATTGGCCCATGTGTCTTCTCTGGATGAAAGCGAAAGTAAGAATGGGGACATGGAATATCCGCACTATGTTTGAACTTAGCAAGGCTGCCCAGGTTACAAAGGAGATGAGAAGGAATCGCATTGAAGTGCTAGGAATATGCGGGAGCAGATAGAATGGGAGTGGACTCTCCAAACTGTCAACTGGAGAGTCAATAATCTACTCTGATACTGTCACCCAGACGACGACCACTGAAATACATGTCTTGTTCTGATTCATAAATCTGAAATATCGTCAGATAGAACAATAAGAGACTGGTTGGCCATTCCCCTTCTTTATAGTAGAGTTTATAATCACTAGTATACACCGACAAACTGAACACATAGAATCAAATTGATTAAGTGTTGGACACGGAACTTGAATTCCAAGGATTCGATCTCTGAGGGTGGAGTGATGTCATGGGTGCTCACTGCTGAGGAGTCTCATACTAGGAGGAAACAGCTGGTGTTTAGTGCTTCCATGTTTCCAATATTCCTTCAAGTGATGTCAATCCATGATGAATACCAACTGGTAATCAGTAACTAAATCATGATAAACCCTGAAATTCATTTGGTTATGGCTAACTGATACATTCAGTGTCATTATTATTATTTTTATTAATCCTTTGGGTTCCTAATGGAACATAGGGCTTCAGTAGCACGTCTCCATTCTACTCTGTCCTCTGGAATCTTTTCAACCTGGTTCCCCCTTTGCCCACAAGCTCTCATTTATTCCTCACACGATCTCCTCCATGTAACACTCACCTCGCACGCCCAACTCATCGTTTCTCATTCAGGTTCCACTCGACACCCTGACCTGGCACGCGATGTCCCCAGCCAGCTTTTTCAGTGTGTATCCGATCCATCTCCACTTCCTTCCACTGCATATTTGTTGAGTGATAGGTTGTTGGTTGGTTCGTTGCCAGAGTTCCTCGTTGCTTATTACTTCTGGCCATCTGAGCTTTAGTATCAAGCCAGCGTAGGCAGTTGTTGATGAATGTCTGTAATTTGTTGGAAATGCCTTTCATAACGCGTTGTCTCTGAGCCATACAGAAGAACTGACTTGACGTTGGTGTTGAAAATCTTGATCTTGTTCACGCTTTATGCTGAGTGGAGTGCAGTGCAGTGCAGTGCAGAAGATCTGCATACTGGTTTCAGGTTAATGAACACCTGTCTTGCTGTCTTTCCGATCCTGGCTGACTATGACGTCCTCATTTGTGCCTGTTCTACTTGTAGTTGAAACGATGCTGCCTAGATAGGTGAATGAGACAACTTCCTTGATCGTGATTCGGGCTTGTTGTTGTTGTTGGTTGGGTATCATCATCACCTCTGTTTTCTCTACGTTCACTTGAAGTGCCGTCTTCGTTGCCCCACCTCTTCTGTCAACTAGTTAGTTTTCACCTGTAGATCTTCGAGTTTGTGTGACATTAGATACAAGACATCGGAGGCGAAATTCAAATCTTCTTCTAGGATCTTTTCCGCGGTTGAGCGTATGCTTATCTTCTCGCCCCTCACTGTTTGTTGGATGATCTAATCGACCACAATCAGGAATATCATGGATGATAGTAGACAGTCTTGCTTTACTCCTGTCTTCACTTGAAAGACATCACTGAGCTTCCCATTGTGAATTACTTGGCATATGGCGACATTCAGTGTTAAATGAGTAAAATTCTCGTCCGCAGTGTTATCAATACTGACTTGAATATTTAAATCAGCAGATCGAAATTAATGATTTCCACCTAATCATACTGTTCAATGATACATTTTGCTAGTTCATGAAAGATCAAACCTTGTAACCTTGATTGGATGGATGATTGAAAAGAAATACTAAACTGCTCACCTATGAGAAGGTTAAAATGAACTAAGAAACTTGTGAATAGTATACAAAATGATGATTTACGTGATTCTCATGGCATTTCAAAACCAGTTTATTCTCTATGCACTCCTTTTTGATTGTATAACTGTACTGTAGTCAAGCATATTAACAAAAGGTAAGTTATGAATATGTGGGTATGTTATAGATAGAAAATAATATTCTGTCTTGTAAAGAATATGAATTGAAAGATGATAAAAGTGAAAGACTAATGACTTACGATACCATAGTAGGCTTCGCAGTACACCTTTTCGTGTAATGAATTGACAGAATGAGTAATCGAATTTTGGAGTTTATGGGGATTTAATGATTTTCCCATGTTGGAGCATTGGAAAGCAACTATTTCCCCTAGTATACGACTCTTCAGAAGTGTGCTCCTATGACCACACCCTACCTTAGGGATCGAACCTATGACTTTCAGCTTCCACGGCCAGCATGTCAACATCGAGCCACTAGATTAGAATCCAATGATCCATATTTCCAACTTCTGTCAGTTCACGATATGGCGGCAGAATGAGTAATGCAGAGATGAAGAGATTCGTGAGTTGATAGGCATTGTACATCTTCATCATCAAACTCGTAAAGTTACGGCCTATCAACAAGCATTATGTTAAGTGGGACTGCATAATGCTGTATGGAAACAAAGAGTGGTTAAACTAAAGGGGTGACTTTAAAGACCACCTTAGTAACCACTTAAATAACCAATTATCCTTATTAATTTTATGAAAATCTACATTTTCAGTCAAGACGAAGAAACCTAATTGGTTATTTCGTTCATATCCATGGTAGCCTTTAAAGTCACTCCGAAACCTGTGTTGGCAGTTGGGCTAGTATGTAGAGACGTTAACATTGCTAGGGTTTTCATTATCTTGTAGTCTACTTGGTATCTAGCAGTAGGATCTAGCACACATGTTTCGTCTTGTTTTGGACTCGTCAGCCGGACATGCCCGTCTCCAAGTGAGTGAAGTTGTTTCCGCCGAGGCTCGAACCCTGTACCTATCATTTTAAATGCAAAGCGATGTCCAATAGACCACTGATGCACGATATTCATCAAGTCGAGTAATATTTCATAAAGAATATTCCTGCAGTATTAAGGCATCCACATAAGAGATCGAATAATTCGACCTCAGATAACAATTCGAGGTTGTAAGTATATGAACAAATAGTTATAACTTATGATGATGATGATGAATACGATTGGTATGCGGTTTGAGTTTCAGTGACAGGAACATCACTAACTGCGATACAGATACATGCAGCTGACTAATAGTAGGTGGGATCGAAAGCGCATCTTGGATTCCACACGTAGCCATCGAGCAGACTTCAAAGCAGTTAGTTAGTTTATATTACTTTCTTGTTCATTATAGGCTGATATCAATTGAAAAATCATAGAAATCCAAAGAACATAAGACAACCGTATCGCTCAAGTGTGGTTGATACTTTATAGCAGCATGTATTCTTGATCCCATCAGGAATCGAACACATGAACTTCACGCTTAAAAGTGAACTTGAAGGCACTCAGCCATTGGGTCAGAGTTGAATATTCACTGCTGAGGAGCTTCATACTAAGGCAAAACAGCTGTTCAGTATTCCTAGTGATTCGAATAGACATATGCCTGTGATTAATACCAACTTGGAACTAATGAACTTAGAATAAACTATGAAATTAATTAGTCAATTAATTGTGTGTGTTATTCATACACTACTTATATTTCTACTCATTACCTTTTTCTAGATATATCTAATGATATGAATTTCTTTTTATATAGAACAATTTGTTCCCCAGAAGCAACATATAAAAGTTTTCTTGATATGATATATGAATTTACTCAAGAAGATTATGATAAACGATATTCTAATTCGTTGAGAAATTATTTTACACGAACTGGAAAATATTATGATGGTGGATATTTGAATATACTTTCATTTCTAGTTAATATATGTCAGTGTTTACGTCAACGTGTAAGTAGTAGGGTTGTTGAATTACTTTTCTTAGTTTCTTTATACTTCAAGCAGGAAAATTGTACTTATTTTTAATATATCTCAATTCATTAGTACTTCATCAAGTGACTTATCATACATTTTTCAAAGTTAACAAAACTTTCAATATACCTTTTCACTTAGGTGAGAATTTCGTTTTATTTGGTTTGGAGAATATCATCCATGTGGAATAGACAAATGTATTGACAGTCTTGTTTATTGGAACGTATAATTTTCTGTAGCTATACTGAGTGGAATTGTATCTCTTGGTAGATGGGTTCCTATATGGATTCCATTTTTCAATAATAAAGACAGTAGCATAATTGAACTGTCAGTCGTTACAGAAAATATCTCCGAGAAGATTTAGTTTCTCCTTGAACGTATTCCCTGAAGGCAGTGATACTACTTGCTGGGGTAAGGAGTTCTAGTCGTAGAACACACGATCGGTGAAACGCGGATTCATGCCAAGTTGATTGGATCGTGCTTTAGGGATTTCCTTTTGATGGATGTCCTCGGGGATAACCAATTCTAGCAGGGGAGAAGAGACAGGATATATCAATAAAAAAGTCATTATTAAGAATATAGAATGCCAGTATGAGATCAACGCGTTTCCTACGGTAAGACGATAGGAATAAGCTCAGTTCATTTGATCGTTCCTCATAGGATAGATTTGAAAGGCCTACCTAAAGCTTAGTACCTACCCTCACAACAGGCTGAAGTACGTCAGCATCCGATTTTAAGCATGGGCTGGTCGCCTGAGTGCAGTATTTCAATTGAAGTTGAACGTAAGTAGAATAGAGTGTTCCAAATGTATCCTGATCAAAACTTTTGGGAGCTCTGCGCATGGACCGTAATATACGGAAGCCTTTTGCTCCAGCTGCATTTCAGTGTGCCGAAGTTTTCAAATCATGGCTTACAATGGCACCTTAGTCTTTCATTCCAAAGACTGGAAGTGTAAGTATACCATCAACGGAAAATCGAAAACAATTCTCACGACCAATGTATATTATAGGGACTTCAAGTGAATATAGAGTAGACAGAGGTGATGAAGATACCGCATCAACAACAAGCTCCAATCACCATCAACGGGAGAAACTTAAAGGAAGTAACCTCCTTCACCTATCTAGGAAGCACTGTTTCAATTACAGGCGGGACAGACGAGGATGTCAAAGTCAGAATCGGAAAAGCAAGACAGGTGTTCATTAGCCTGAAATCAGTGTGGAGATCTTCTACACTCAGCATATGGAACAAGATCAAGATTTTCAACACCAACGTGAAGTCAGTGCTTCTGTATGGCTCAGAGACTTGGGGCGTCACGAAAGGCATTTCCAATAAACTACAGACATTCATCAACAACTGCTTACGCTGGCTCGCTACTGAAGATCAGATGGATTGCCAGAATAATAAGAATAAGCAACAAGGAGCTCTGGGAACGAACTAACCAAGAACCTATCACCCAACAAATATGCAGAAAGAAATGGAGATGGATTGGTCATACAGTGAGAAGACCGACTGGGGACATCACGGGTCAGGCCGTTGAGTGGAATCCCCATGGGAAGCGACGAGTTGGACGTCCGAGGCAAGGGTGACATGGAGGAGGTCGTGTGAGGAGGAAATGAGAGCTTCTGGGCTATCGTGGAGCCAGGTTCAAAAGATCTCAGAGAACAGAGGTCACTGGAAACGTGCTACTGAAGCCCTATTTTCCACTAGGAACCCAAGGGACTAGTAATAATGATAAAAATAATAATGTGCATTATTACTTTTTTACTAGAGTTGCTTTCCAGGCACCAACGTTTGAACCAACTTACTACTTCATCCAAATCCACTTGTAGTACATATCTATCAGTATCACTACTTATGACTCTTCAAACTTCCACATCATCAGTGAATAACAGAATTGACACTGCTTGGATGTTCGTTGTGTTTTAGTCTTCTTGGTGGCTGTCATTGGAATCCAGAACGTGTGTTTTGTCCTATGTGGGACTCCTCGGCTGGATGTGTCTGAACCCCAGTGCTTGGTGCCCTTCCTACTAATACTAAAACCCAGTACTCATTGTTTCGAACTCTCAGACGTTACCCACTAAGTCACTGCAACAAGAGAGCCACCTTTTGTTCAACGGTTATTGTTTTTTAGAATGGTTGGACACTGGGTTCGAGTTCCTGTGGGAACAATATCGCTCACCGGGCTGCAGGTTCATCCAGCTGAAAAGTCTCAGATAAAACCAGATGCGCATCCTGGAATCCACTCCTAATCATCGAATCATCCAGATAATCACATGAATAGATATGTAAATATCTGATAGGATAAATCAGTCAAAAGGCATGCAAGTCGATTAACGAGATTTTGACTGAGATGGCTTGGACATGTATTGAGCATATCCAACCAACATCTGCCTAAACGTTCTATACCAGGGGAAGTTGGGGAAAGTTTGAAAAAGGTTCAGGGTGGCCAGACCAAGACCTGGCACCAGTCGATGAATTCCTAGACTGTTGGTTTCAGTCGTGTAGGGAGATGACGACTATCTACCTGGTTGGAGTCACTGAGATGAAATAAATCAGTAGTTAATGACTCTTGGTGACATGACTGAAAATCGGTCACAATGGTGTAGGTGTATCCATCCCTTAACATCTTCTAAAGCTTAAATATTCACACAGATTCTTGTCTTCGAATTGTTTATTCTCTCACACAACCTTGATATCACTCTTCCTTTATCCATCTGTTCTTTGCATACTACTGGGAAATGTGGCAAGTTGAGCCAATCCACCTATGTGCGAGGTTCTGCTCTGATTCCCTCAGTCTGTTAGTCAAATCAATGAAATTACTGTTCCTAGAAAAGCATGAAAATATTTACCGAGAAGACAGCTATGGTAATAAACACATAGGTCCTCATTAAACTACCATTTAAAGATGAGGAAGTTATGCAGTTGACTTCGATCTGTTACCAAACATACTTTCTATACCAATTCCGTTTTACTTAACTTCAAGGACCTTTTCTTTTATAATGGGAACGATTTAAGTATGAAAGTCAATTAGCTCTACCTTATGTTGTATCTCCAAGTTCCCTTACAGTTGTTGGGACATTTATTTAGGTAGAACTAACAGAATGTTATAATACCATCAGGAACAAGTTTCTCAGTGATTGTTAAATTACTCGCTTGAACTAAACAATGGTATTCATTATGGACCGGTATTAGTTGGAGAAACATTGGAAACCTGGGAGCACTGGGAAGCAGCTGTTTCCTACTAGGAGGGGACTCTTCAACGGTGCTCACACATGACTCTGCCAAGGGTCGAACCCATGTCCTTCAGATTCTGTGGCCAGTACGTCACCATTGAGCCAATGGATTGGAATCTAGTGGTCCATGTATCCAACTTCTGTCAATTTATGATATAGCGCGACCGATACACCGCTGAGGAGTCTTATCTTAGGACGAAATGGTCCTCCAGTTCTCCAAGCTGGTTTTCACTGGTTCTTCAACTGATATGTTAGTCCATGATGAACACTGTCTTAAGGATAGTTTATAACTGTAAACTATTTTAGTTGTTCTGTGACTGTAGGGAAAATACGGAGTAGTGGAGAATATTTGTAGCTCACATGGATGGTCTTGGTTGTATTGTGTTCTCTGAGCTGGGTTGTTTAATCGGGAAGCTTTCATCGTCCTTTTAGATAACATCTAGAAGACGATCACCGATATCCGGACTAATTGCAGAAGCAGTGATGCAGAGACTGGAAGCCATCATCCTACCTGTGATCAAACCAAAATTCTGGATTCGTTATGTGGACGACACTTTTGTCATCATTAAAAAAGATGATAAAGAAAACACTCACAGTTTGATCAACAACATTTTCAGTGATATCAAATTCATAATGAAGAAAGAGTCAAACAACCAACTAACATTCCTGGATGTTCCAGTCAATAGAACAAATACGAGGAACCTGGAAGCCAAAGTATACAGGATGCCAACACACGCCGACTGATCAAATCCTCAACTACAGTAGCAACAACCCGACACCCACAAGATCAGTTGCGTGCAGACTGTATTCAGAAGAACGAGACCACAGTGCAGTACAAGAAGTTTAAGGAGAAAGGAATAAAATTACTTGATGTCTATCCTAAAGAAGAACGACTACCCACGAAACTTTATCACAAGATGCCTATCCCATTCATTATCAGCTACGAAGTCATCGACAGAAATCAATAAACGCATCATCCTACCATACATGATGAATACATCAGAAATCATGACAACATTACTGAGACCACTTCGTGGAATTAGTGTGGCTCATAACCAACAAATTCCCTCCAAACACTACTATGCAGATCAAAGGATGCAACAAGCAAAGAAGACAAACCGAATATCATTTACAAAATCAACTGGAATAACTGTAGTCAATGCACCATATCGGACAAAGTGGCCGCCCTCTTCACCTTTGTCTACATGAACACCAATTGGCTATTAAACACCACGACATTTCATCACTCATTTCAATGCATGTGGATAACAACCATGGACATGAATTCAATTTGGACAATGTAGAAATGTTGAAGGGAGAGAGGAAACACAAAAAATGTCAGAGAATCCCTAGAAGCTTGGCATTCAGGTCAGTCAGTCAGCAATTAACAGATGTTTAGTAAAACAAACAATGTGAGCAAAGAAATATTTCTTTTCAATTAGTTCCTCATCAATGGCTCTACACTCATATATATGTAGCATTTTCAAAACATAAACTTACATACCAATCTAGTGGTGAGAGGTGTTCAATGAAAGGTTATCAATCTCAAAGTATCAAGAAGGTGATAATTGATCAGGTGATTAAGACAGTTAACTAAAGCAAAGATTAATTATAGCAGGAGGGTTTTGTGAACAGGTTCTTACATAATTGATATTTTGTATAATGGTAACTAAAGAGCGAAGATGAACTTTTACGTAAAATGGTAAATTGTTGATGGTAATTAGAGACAGTCGAGGGAGAGAAAGATGGTTAAGTCTGTAATAATAATAATAATAATAATAATAATAATAATAATAATAATAATAATAATAATAATAATAATAATGGAGCTATTAAAATATTAGTTATAGTGAATTGTGTGGTGGATGAAATGAAGAGTCTTGTTGTAATAAATGAGCTATACAGATGGCCAAGGCAAAGAAAGAGGCTGTACGAATCTCTTCTGAACACACAGACTTGGCTTGTGTAGGTGGATTCCTATGGCTTCTGCTGTATGTAAAAGACAAACTGGTAGAGGATGAGTGAGGTGAGAAGGAATGTGATAAATAACTTTAAAGGCATTATGAGTGTTAACTCGGTGTCCGGTGTCAATCAGATGAGAGAGTATTGAGCTTCGTGTCAATCTGGTTTCCCCCTTACTTAGCCATGAAAGGTGATGCTCGGCGATTCGACGACGGACTTGCCTACCTGTACGTCCAATGTAACTAGCTGCACAGGAGCAGTTGAACTGGTAAATGTACATAGAAGAGAAGAAGTCAGGGAGTCTGTCTTTAGTTCGTGTGGTCATCATCGGCCGGCTGTAGAAAACACAACATAACTTGGCGGCATTATATGATCTTCTTATGGCATTTCTTAAGCGCTGTGTCACAATTTCGCTGATGATGTCACCTCGAAATTGTAGTCTTAGGAACAATGGTTTCTTGGAGACTGTAGGCATTCTGGTTTTCATATTGGATGTGTTCATATTTTTAGCAAGGAACGTTTCTGGATATCCATTACTACTGAGAAGATCGTGGATAATTTGAAGCTCTTCGTCAAAAGTATCATCTGAACAGATGAGTCTAGCCCGATGGACCAAACATTTAACGAGATTTCGTTTATATTGCAAGGGGACGAAACTCAAGAAGTGGGTGTATTGACCTGTTGACGTTGGTTTCCGATACACACTTCTTTTTATAGTTCCATCCACCTTCCTTGTCAATCGGACATCTAAGAAGGTGATGCTGTCGTCACTTTCTGTTTCAATAGTGAAGGTTATTGCTGGATGGACGCCATTGAATTCATCCAGTATGATCCTTGCATCGTCCTCGTTATTCACAATCAAGAATGTATCATCTACATAACGGCAATAAAATTCTAACCCGCTTATGATGCTTTCCAGAGGGCCATTTTCTAATTTTGCTAAGAAGAAGTCCGCTAAGATTGGGCTTAGTGGTGACCCCATAGCGACACCGTCTGACTGTCTATAGAATTCTTTACTGAAGAGAAAGTGCACATTCATTGTACATCGTAAGAGAAGCTCTTTCATGGTGGATGCCGTAATTTCAATTTCTATGTTTCTCTTTCCCAGTTCCCTACATATGAAGTCCACTGTTCCCATCAGAGGGACATTTGTGAATAGGGATGATACGTCTAAGGATATCATAGACTTATTATCACCTTCTTGATACTTTGAGATTGATAACCTTTCATTGAACAACTCTTACCATTAGATTGGTATGCAATTTTACTTTTGAAAATGCTATATTAGTGTAGAGCCATTGATGAGGAACTAATTGAAAAGAAATATTTCTTCGCTCACATTGTTAGTTTTACTAAGTGTCTAAATGGAATTTTCGAATCAATAGATGCATAGACATGGACCCAATCTATCAACCAATAGGAGAAATGATAAACGACAGAAAGGTGAAAGGTGAAGCAGAGGAATAGTCAACAGGAAAATCTATACAATCAATGACACAACAATCGAAGGAAACAACCAATTATAGACCACTTCGTCAAGGCAAGCTACTAAATCACTGACGGAGAGATATTGACAGTTTACTCACTTCATAGTGAAGTTAGTGCTGATGATGTCATTGTCTAGAGAGACACGATGAAAGCATCTTCACGATTAAACAACCCAGCCAACTCAGAGAACACAATACAACCAAGAAAATACGGAGTGTTATCATCTCGCAATATTTATCCTTTAAGTGCTTTATACAAATCTGTTAAAGATAAAACTTCAGCCGCCAATTATTATAATCTTATTGTCACTTGTTATATTCTTGTAGTGTCTACTTAACAGTAATCTTCAGATTCTAACCATTGATGATTGCTCAATTTCTCGATAAATGTAAAAGGCAGAAAGATAACAGAAGGTGTATTCCAACATCAAAAGTATATACAAAATACAAGGGTTTATATATATATATATATATATATATATATATATATATATATATATATATATATATATATATATACAACAGCCATTGTCTATTACCAGATCTTTATAGATTTAAATGTCCTCTAGATTTTTGTCTCTTCAACCAATCTGAAATTTACACGTTGATGCGTATGCTTTCACTCGAAACATCAGCGCAATATGATTGATCATAAAAAGTTTCAGGGATTTAAGAGTTTTTATAGAGATTATGACAATTTTATTCCACATTATTCATAAATATGGTTAAATATTTGTAGGTAGCTAACTTTACATTAACTATTCTATTGTCTTACTTCTCTGACCATTCCTGAGGAATCAATCAATAATCATTGGTAGAATCGATAGATAATTCTTGAAGTGTTCATAACTCTATTACTAGTTAATATAATAAACATTTTTGACGTGAAAATCCGTTCATCTGATAAAGTCTTCATATCAAATCAGGTGTTTGTAACGATACGTAGTCCACGGTAAGAATCTCTTTTTTCTCTCTAAATCCCCACAAATCCCCAAATTCCACTGAACTAGTGCTCATTGGTGACTAACTTCGAGAGGTGATTCTTGAAGTTGTTACCGGTGGGGAAGACTTGATGACCGTAAAGGCAAATACTTAACGCTGATATTAGGTGAAGGCTGCGCTGTTTCGTGAACAGACAGAAGTTGGATAGATGAACCACTGGATTCTCACACAATGGCTCAGTGTTGACGTACTGACTACAGAATCTGAAAGTCATAGGTTCGACCCTCGGGTGTGGGTGGGGTTGAGGGTGCGCACTACAGACAGGTCCCATAGTGGATGAAACAGCTGTTGTCCAGTTCTCCCAGGTTTCCAGTGTTCCTCATTCCGATGTCAATACATGATGAATACCAACTTGAAGAATAAATTATTTGAATCGAGATAAAGAAAAGTGACTATACAGATAATAAGGATAACAAGGAAAGAACAATGACTTATCATAGATTCATATGACGATTAGGTTAATGTTCCGTGATGAAGTGAACTTGAAACCCGGTTAACAGCTACATCTCACATCGAAGTTGATCATTTCAAGGTCGTTGGTTAGGATTTTCTTGCGAAGCAGGCTATCCTTCTGACTTGAATCATTACCCCATAGTAAATATACTCGGAGAAACATTTACAGTTAATCAGGGCACTTTAAAATCGCAGAATATTTGATTGACGTTCATTTCTCTTAAACAACTCAAGGTCAATTGGTAACATACACTTATAGAGTATTTTATAGAGTTTACCCATGACTCTTGGATGATATTGATAAACAGCGAAAAACGATGATCCTGATACAGATGAAGGCAATCTGAAAGATAGAATATATAGGAAATAACCGTATAAGGTAAAACCCAGTAAGCAAGACAAAACGTAAATACACTTAATCAACTTTTACAACTGAAGGTGACCCTCCATCCAGAAGCATAAATCTCACAATTTTTGATAAAACTTTAAGTTATTTCTATCAACTTTTTCACTCTTTGCCTTTAGATTAAACTTTCTAAAGGTTATTCTTTCTTTCTTAATTTACACTGTGAGTATACACATCTACACTGTCCAAATCCTTGTTATAAGCCGAATATATGTTATAATGATGAAAACAGTAATGGTTTATGCATAGTTATATCAAGTGATGAACCAATAAAATTGTTACCAACAAATGTTCGAGTTAAACTTGGTTCAGTTTATGCCTATGATTATGAGTGTGCATGTATTGATCAACATGTGTTCAATCATACTTTGAAGAAATGTGTACCAGTTGAGAAGAAATGTGATTCTTCTGTGTAAGTACTTTTTAACTAACTATTATTATCCATTTATGTATGTATGACTACATAACATTAGATATATGAATTATGTGCCACTTATATAAATGTAAAACTTGGGCACTGTGTTCGATTGTAATTCCATTATAGTCTGTCTATTAGAAATGTCACACAGTGAAGGAACAGTATCATGTATTGGATAACGTTTCAAACACAATTTATTGTCCATATTCATATCAGATCAGGTAACTCCACACTTCCAGACAGTCTTTATATATTCCTAGTTTTCTCTCCTTCTCTGTGATGACAAGGTAGTAGAATTTTCCATATATCTGTGACAGGTGTAGAATCATTTCTGTGTGTGTTGATTCGATAAACAAAGATTCAGTTATCAATCTCTCCTCCCTCCACCCAACTAAGTTAGTTTTCAACACTGTCGCTCTATCCCACTCTACTGTGTGGTTGTGTGTCATCGCATAGCCGAGTTTGTTGGTTCAAATGCCAGCCACTTTAATCCCAGCCACCTTACTGAGAATTCTCCATAATGCTTCCGAGCTGTCTTCCTTGTATGGTAACACAGCAGAGGCTTCGAATTCTCTCTTAACCCTGTCGCTATTATTACCATTAGTAGTGGGATTATTGTCAGCAACACCCGTATTACTACTACTACTACTACTACTACTACTACTACTACTACTACTACTACTACTACTCACACTACTTCTACTACTACTACTACTACTACTACTACTACTACTACTACTACTACTACTACTACTACTACTACTACTACTACTACTACTACTACCATTGCTAACATCTTCTTTCGATTTCGTATGAATTTGTTTACAAATTTTGGTGGATAATTATTGAGACGTAGGATATTCTTGGTATGTTTAATTTCTTGTCGCAGATTTTCCGATCTACTAGTAAGCTTTTTCACTCTATCACTTAAGCATCTAACTAGGCCTACAAACTCGCTGAGAGAAACAAGTTTGTAGGTTGAAAGATCCCATCAATGCAATCAAGCAAAATAATCTGGTTCACCAGATCCCTTGCAATGATTGCTAGGTCAAGCATATAGGTCAAAGCAGTCAACTAGCCAGGGTCAATTAGAATAACACAGCACAAAAATTTAGCTAAATCAAGACTAGTAGACGCTAATAAGATAAGAAATCTAGAGAAAAACTCGGCTATGCGATGACACACAACCACACAGTAGGGTGGGATAGAGCGACAGTGTTGAAAACTAACTTAGTTGGGTGGAGGGAGGGAGAGATTGATAACTGAATCTTTGTTTATCGAATCAACACACACAGAAATGATTCTACACCTGTCACAGATATATGGAAAATTCTACTACCCTTGTCATCACAGAGAAGGAGAGAAAACTAGGAATATATAAAGACTGTCTGGAAGTTGTGGAGTTACCTGATCTGATATGAATATGGACAATAAATTGTGTTTGAAACGTTATCCAATACATGATACTGTTCCTTCACTGTGTGACATTTCTAATAAACAGACTAAAATGGAATGTGCCAGTTATGTTGTCTCATGTATTACCCAGTCATTGATTAGGTAGAATTGACTGACCTCCATTGGCGAACCATCTACACAGATGCCTAGATATTGTCTATAGCTTCAATCTAATAGTAATGTTGGACACTGACTACGATTGGAATCCAGCATGCGACAACATAAAAATTATATCCATGGACTAGTGAACAACGCTTTGATGTTTGAAGTTATCAGCTTCAGTTTCTCAGTTGTTGTCCGACAGGGAGCCTTTAAGGTCCCTCCAACTAGACAAACATACGTGACTCATCCACTGAGGTATACGTTAAGTGTCTCTCTTTATACTCATCAATCACTTGACCATTTCTTTAAAGTAGTATATAAAGAAGAAGTGGACAGATAGAGAATTATGTGTAAACAGAGACTAATATTATGGTGACAGATTTGAGTTAACTGAACAACAGCCTCCAAAAGCTGATTATTGAAATGTCAAAGATGTAATTTAGAGCTAAGACGTTATAAACTGGTGTACTGCCTTGATCTCACGATCTTTAACTTTCTTGGAACACGCTCCTACTTTTAATAACATTGCTCGTAAAGGAAATCAATGAGCTGGAATGTGTAACGCACATTGTCGTTATCACCGTTGACAACTTTTTACGACAAGTTTAAAGAATGAATAACCTCACATAGGACATCTCAGTTCCTTTCAGGTTGTAGCTACGTCTTGCTGACAAATGCCAACAGGCATGAAATGTAGATCAAGCAGGGCTTTCTGTTAATCGTTCTCATCCAACTAGAGTCTATCAAACCGTACCACAATAGATAATCTAATACCTTGACGACCACATAGAGGAATGGTCGATAGAATTCGATAAATAATCAAGACTAGACAACATGAAATGGGTTACTCTTCACTGAAAGACCAATGAAGATAGTTCTTTGATACAAAAAACTCAGTGGTAACGTCATTGTTGACTCAAGTTCAAATCTCAAGCAGCACATCAGCTCCATAGAGATCGCAGATATGCCTCACCGATGAGTACCAAGTAGAGCTTCTTGCCGATTGCTTTCAACCTACTAACCTCAATATTTGTCACATTATGGCTGTATTACAAACAAACAGTGTTACAACGAACATCCTTTTTACATTTTTCCCTAATTATCTGTTCAGTTCACTCCAGGAACAAATGAGTATGATACATCAGGAGAAATAATTTGATTCTACAATAGGATTTTAAAGTATATTTCGATTATAACAAAGGTGGCAAGTAAATCAAAACATTTCTGATGAAGAATCACGTTTATTATAAGTCGGTGAATGTAGAAGACGCAAACAATAATCACTAGGGAACGACATGAATTGAAATATGTTTATTTTCGGTTAGTATTCATCATGAACTAACATCAGCTGGACAAACAGTGGAAACTTGAGAGCACTGGATAGGTGTTTCGTCTTTGTATGTGACTCCTCAGCAGTGCGCGCCTATGACCTCCCCACGTTGATTCCCGAAGTTGCAATGCAAAGTCTTGACCAGTGGTCCAACCAAGTCGAACTTAAGGGCAGTTAATCAATGAGGACATTAGGTGATGGTCTCTTTATGTAGTGAACTGACAGAAGTAGGAAATATGTACCATTAAATTCCGACCCACTGGCTCAAAATGGTAACGTGCTGACCACGGGACCTGAAGGTCGTGGGTTCGACCCCGGGGGGGGGGTCATGGGTGTGCGGTTCTGGGAATTCCAAACTACGACGAAACAGCAGCTGACCAGTGCTCTTAGATTCCCAGTGGTTCTCCAACTGGTGTCATTCCATGGAGAATATCAAACTGAAATCAATAAATCCCCACAAACCTCAAGATTGAATACATTCATTTGTTAAAACGATGCACTTTGACAGTATTGATGAGTAATGACTGTAATGGAATCCAAATGCATACATTTGGGACTTGAACACGGAACCGATCGCTTCAAGAACTAGTGCGTAAATGTAAATGTATTTGTTACTTCTCTCTTACCTATTATTCCCTCCGTATTCGTTTTTCTGGGTTCAAACATCGTGCGGACATTCCATGTCCGTACGTTTACTTTCGCTTTCATCGAGAGAAGACACATCGGCCAATTGGCTTCCCGAAGGCTTTCACCAACTGGCGTCATTTCGCCCCTCCAATTCCAGCGAGGAATAAGTTTGTTTTTATTTTTTATATTTTGTTTGTGCTTTGAAGTTTCTTCAGCGGTTGAATTGCTTTTACTGGGTAGGTTTGCTAGCCCTATGCTCAACCTTCCCTCTTTACCCGGGTTTAGGACCGGCTAGTAACTAGTAAACTAGTTAACCAGAAGATCTGGATTTCGCCACCGATGACTTGTGCGTGATGTCGCACAAACTTGAAGATCAACAGGCAAAAACTAACAAGTTGGCAGAAGAGGCAGGGCAGCGAAGACGGGACTTCAAGTGAATATAGAGAAGACAGAGGTGATGAAGATACCCACCAACAACTCCAACAACAACAACAAACTCCAATCACCATCAACGGGAGAAACTTAAAGGAAGTAACCTCCTTCACCTATCTAGGCAGGCAGCACTGTTTCAACTTCAGGCTGCAGTGGCACAGACGAGGATATCAACGCCAGTCAGAATCGGAAAAGCAAGACAGGCGTCGATTAGCCTGAAATCAGTGTGGAGATCTTCTGCACTCAGCATGTGGAACAAGATCAAGATTTTCAACACCAACGTCAGTCAAGTCATTGCTTCTGTATAGTGATTGAGAGACTTGGCGCGTCACGAAAGGCATTTCCAACAAACTACAGGCATTCATCAACAACTGCCTACACTGGCTCGCTACTGAAGATCAGATGGATTGCCAGAATAATAAGAATAAGCAACAAGGAACTCTGTGAAGGAACCAACGAAGCAAGAACCAATCGCTGAACAAATATGCACTGGAAGGAAATGGAGATTGATTGGGCATACACTGAGAAGGCCGACTGGGGACATCACGCGTCAGGCCAGGCACTCGAGTGGAATCCCCATGGGAAGCGACGAGTTGGATGTCCGAGATGAGGGTGACATGGAGGAGATCGTGCGAGGAGGAAGTGAGAGCTTGTGGGCAGTGGTGGAGCCAGGTTGAAAAGATTTCAGAGAACAGCGTTTACTAGAGACATGCTAGTAAAGCCTTATGTTCCATTAGGAACCCAAGGGAGTAATAATAATAATAATAATAATAATAACAAATTCATTTTTTCTATATACAGATTTATACTACTTAGTATTTTTAAGTAGTATAGTTCGTAATTCTTTATAATATTGCTACATCTACAGCTTTGACTGCTCATTCTGTTCTATGTTTTCTTGTCCACCATTTAAAGCCCGTAGATATTAGTATCTTTCAAAGTTCGTGATGGTGTTATAGTTTCTTTCATTGTTCCCTGTTGTTCTACTTTATCTTGAATATTTATTTATCTTGCGTCTTTACCTCATTATTAGAATTTACGCATATCCTTCATATTCCCTTCTCTTAGCTTGGATATAGCTTTACTGCTTTTACTGTTAACGTACTCCTTGTGAAGTGCTTCGATGTCAAGAAACTCAGAGATATCATATTATTAAAGGTTTGTATTTTATTACTCAATATTGCCTATTAATATAGAACTGTATTTCAGATAGATCCTGTGTTTTGGATTTAACGCTTAACTTGAAAGTTTGTTATATTGCTGAGAAGTCTATGGTTCACTTTGGTTCCGAATTTCTTGAAAAGAAATTCACAGTGTATTTCTTTAATTTAAAAGGAGAACTTGGGCACTATGGTAGAATATAATTCCATAGATGGATTTATTGAGTTGATACAGTCAGTAAACAGTATGATACAGTATTGTTAACTAGAAGTCATACTTCATAAATCATAACAGTTTATCTCTTTCCTACTGCTAATCTCTACTTTCATCATCTTCCAACTTATTGTTATTTAAGATGTTTCAATGATGGAATCTGTAAGTATGTACCAAAAGAAGAAAGAATAATTCCAGATATTGAATTTTCTTGTATATGTCCACCAGCTTGGAAGGGATTAGCATGTATTGTAAGTGATTATATCCATTTATTCAACTATACATAACTACTTGGTTAATAAAATGTTATAAATGTAAGGGTGAGGCTAAAAGTTATCCCCAGGTGTTGTTGTGTCTACCATAAATTGTTGGGTTGTTTATGAAAATATGAACATTTTCTGTGCTCTATATGAATACCCTACATATTTGCATATTTTTTAACAATGCCGTCTATCATTGAATCGTAATTTATATCATTTGTTCATGTACAAAGTATTGGCTGTACTTCCACTTCTCAGGCGGAAAGTAAGTACAATTAATCAGGATGAATGATGCTCATAGATTACAATCAGTTAGCTGAGGTTTCAAATGGAATTCAGTGAGTAGGTATAACTATACTGAGACTCAATAAACTGGCCTTCCTTAGTTCCGTCTATTTCACTGACACATGAAGATGTCAGAATACAAAACACTGACCTGTAACTGTAAGAACTACAACTACCAGACAAGTACACGGTATATATATATATATATATATATATATATATATATATATATATATATATATATATATATATATTATTATTATTAGTCCCTTGGGTTCCTAGTGGAACATAGGGCTTCAGTAGCACGCCTCCAGTGACCTCTGTTCTCTGAGATCTTTTGAACCTGGTTCCACGACAGCCCAGAAGCTCTCATTTCCTCCTCGCACGACCTCCTCCATGTCACCCTCGGACGTCCAACTCGTCGCTTCCCATGGGGATTCCACTCGAGGGCCTGACGCGTGATGTCCTCAGTCGGCCTTCTCAGTGTATGCCCAATCCATCTCCACTTCTTCCTGCATATTTGTTGCGTGATAGGTTCTTGGTTGGTTCGTTCCCAGAGTTCCTTGTTGCTTATTTTTTCTGGCCATCTGATCTTCAGCAGCGAGCGTAAGCAGTTGTTGATGAATGTCTGTAGTTTATTGGAAATGCCTTTCGTGACGCGCCAAGTCTCTGAGCCATACAAGAGCACTGACTTGACGTTGGTGTTGAAAATCCGTATCTTGTTCCGCATGCTGAGTGCAGAAGATCTCCACACTGGTTTCAGGCTAATGAATGCCTGTCTTGCTTTTCCGATTCTGACTTTGACGTCCTCGTCCGTCCCGCCTGTAGTTGAAACAGTGCTTCCTAGATAAGTGAAGGAGGTTACTTCCTTCAAGTTTCTACCGTTGACGGTGATTGGAGTTTGTTGTTGTTGTTGATGGTGGTGGTGCGGTATCTTCATCACTTCTGTCTTCTCTATATTCACCTGAAGTCCCGTCTTAGCTGCCTCCTCTGTCAACTTGTTAGTTTTTGCCTGCAGATCTTCAAGTTTATGTGACATTAGGCATAAGTCATCGGCGAAATCCAAGTCTTCTAGGTTCTTTTCCGTCGTCCAGTGTATCCCCCTCTTCTCGCTGCCTACTGTTTGCTGCATGATCCAGTCCACCACAATTAGGAATATCATGGGGGATAGTAGGCAACCTTGTTTCACTCCTGTCTTCACTTCAAAGGCATCACTGAGCTTCCCATTGTGGATTACTTGGCATGTGGCATCTTCATATAGTTGTTGAATGAGGCGGATAAAGGTTTGCGGTACTCCGTAGTATTGAAGCAGTTTCCAAATTACTTCTCGGTCGACGCTGTCAAAGGCCTTCTCAAAGTCGATGAAGTTGAGGTATAGAGCTGATTGCCATTCTACGCTCTGTTCTATGATGATACGAAGCGTTGCAATTTGGTCAGCACATGATTTGTACTTCCTGAAGCCTGCCTGTTCCGGTCGCAGTTTTGAATCCAGTGCGTCTTTAAGCCTCTCCAGGATGATGCGGCTTAATATTTTACTTGGGGTGGATAGGAGAGTGATTCCGCGCCAGTTCTTGCAAGCACTGAGGTCTCCCTTCTTCGGCAGTTTGACAAGGTAACCCTTCTTCCAATCGTCAGGTACCTTCTCTTCCCTCCACACCTTCTGCAATAGTGGTGTGAGCATGTCCGCTGTTGTCTCTGCATCTGTTCTCAGTGCTTCTGGCGGTATTCCATCTGGTCCTGCTGCTTTCCCGCATTTCAGTAGCTTTATGGCGTTCAGGACTTCCATTTTCGTTGGGGGATTTATGTTCACTTGTAATTCAGCGGCTGCAGGTGGTATTTCTGGACGAAGTGCAGGTGGTGGTCGATTCAAGAGCTTCTTGAAGTGGTCGGCCCATCGTTTCCTCTGTTTCTCTTCTTTTGTAATTAAATTTCCTTCTTCATCTTTTATTGGTTTCATCTGTGTTGGTCTCTTCCCTGATAGCAACCTGGTTATTTGATACAATGTCGTCAGGTCTCTCTTACCTGCAGCCTGTTCTGCTTCACTTGCCAGTGTGTCGTAGAAGTGTCGTTTGTCTTTGCGTGCACTCTTCTTCACTTCTTTATCCAGTGTTTTATACATTGTGCTCAGTTCCTCTTGTCGTTGAGCATCCTTGCACTGGTTTATCTTCTGCTTCACCATCCTCCTCTCCTCTATCAGCTTCCAGGTATCCGTCGAGATCCATTCCTTGTCTTCTTTCTTCTTCCTTCCTAATACTGTTGTGCAGGTTTCTTTCCACATAGCTTTCAAAGACTTCCAGTGTTCTTCTACACAGGTTTCTTCAGGGATGTCCCTCGACGTCTCCCATTTTGTCTTGATGGCTGCTTTGAAGATCTCCTTTGTAGTTTCATCCTTCAGTTTCCGAGTGTTGTACTTGAATTGAGGTCTATCACCAGCTTCCTTGAAGGCTTTTAACTTGATTTCGAAGGTTCCTTGCACTAGATAGTGGTCTGAACCTACATCTGCTCCTCTTCTTGACCTTGTGTTAAGTAGACTGCGTCTCCATTTTCTTGAGATTGAGATAAAGTCGATTTGATTTTTAGTGTGTCCATCTGGTGAAATCCATGTCGCTTTGTGGATATCCTTGTGCCTGAACACACTGCCTCCAATCACCAAATCGTTGAATGCACAGAATTCTGCAAACAATTCTCCATTCTCATTCATTTCACCTAGCGCCTCTCGACCCATGGTTAGTTCTCTTCCCGTGTTGTCCCCTCCCAGTTTGGCATTCATGTCGCCCATTAGAATTTTGATATCGCCAACTGACGTCTTGTCCAGTGTTGACTGAAGTTGTCTGTAGAATTCCTCCTTTTTCTCTTGCTCTGCATTATTTGTAGGTGCATAACATTGTATGATTGTGACCTTTCTTCCTTTTGAGTTGAATCTTGCTGACATGATCCTGGAGGAGATTGGTTCCCACTGCATGAGAGCCTTCGATGCTCTTGAGGACATCATGATAGCCACTCCCTCAGTGTGCTCGTGGTTGGCGTCTGGGTGACCGGAGTAGATTATTGATTCTCCCGTTGACAGTTTGGAGAGTCCACTCCCATTCCATCTGCTTTCGCAAATCCCAAGCACTTCGATGTTATACCTTCTCATCTCCTTTGCAATCTGGGCTGCCTTACTGGGTTCAAACATCGTGCGGACATTCCATGTCCCCACGTTTACTTTCGCTTTCATCGAGAGAAGACACATCGGCCAATTGGCTTCCCGAAGGCTTTCACCAACTGGCGTCATTTCGCCTCTCCGATTCCAGCGGGGAATAAGTTTGTTTTCATTTTTTATATTTTGTTTGTGCTTTGAAGTTTCTTTAGCGGTTAGATTTGTTTTACGGGGTAGGGTTGCTAGCCCTATGCCCAACCTTCCCTCTTTACCCGGGCTTAGGACCGGCTAGTAACTAGTAAACTAGTTAACCAGGCGAGGTTATATATATATATATATATATATATATATATATATATATATATATATATATATATATATATATACGAAATCCTCAGAAGATGAAGCCATAAATAAACTAATCCGAATGGTTGTATGACATTGAATTTGTCCAATCAGGTTATCATGTAAGTACATGCTTAAATCATGCTGTGAAAATAATTTCTCTATTGGCTGCCTTTTTGTTGCTACCTATCAATATTTCTGAAGGGTTAGAACCAATAGCTTGTTAATTACCATAAAGAAATCATTCATGATATAAGTATAAACAATTATCTAGTAAGTATCACACTGTTTCACAGTGTGATACATCTAATAAGTCAGTAAAAATGAAAGGTAAGAGATAGTTAGACCTGAACATGGCGTCAATCCATTAAACCTCCGACTATTGGTTTGAGTTGTGTTTGGCTATGTAGACTCCTAGAATGAGGTCCACATCACAGCTAAAATCAGTGCTTAGAGACTCTCGATGATATGCTTTTTACGACTTTGGATGACACTTTTCCCCCTTTTTTTTCTATCTAACATGTTGATACCTTATATCTTGATTTGCCGAAGTAAGATTTAGAAAACTGGACTATCACATGGTATTACAAGATTTGACTTAATTGGTTACCAAGTCGACCATCTAAAAACTGCTAACTGGGCTTCAGTTTTATTTCAATCAATAACAATTTTGCTCCATTATCAAACTAACCTTGCATAAGGTGTATTTTTACTTGTGTAATCCCTTGGAGTAGTATATTACAACAAATAACAAAATAAACAACATATTTTGTATTATTCCTCAACGTTTCGATCATGCTAGGAAGATCCTTTTCAAGAGTATGAATCTGACATTAAGTTTTAAGGTTAATATTCAAGTTTTGGTACAGAAGCTAGTGACCTTTACAATCATTCAATTACATCATGATATTGAGCAAAGATTGATGTAATACTACAGGTGAGTGAATAAGCAGCTCGGTCACAGAGGTTGTTCTCAGTTGTGTGAGTAAGGTGGAACAAACATATGATGAAGAAAATTTTTTAGTTTATCTCGATGCTCAAGTTTTTTCAAACCATCCAGTCTATTGTTGGTCAGGATACCTTCAAGCTTGCATACTTCTTGACACTGGACACCTATTCACTTTTTCTCATTATAATCCACATCAGTCTCAATTAAAAGATGACGATGAGGTGGGTGGAAACGAATGAATTTTTGGTGTTTAAAATGAGACAGCTTCAGTTAACAGATGTCTTTGTATTATTATATTATTATCATTTTCCTTTGAGTTCCTGGTGGAACACCGGGCTTCAGTAACATGCCTCCATTGCACTCTGTTCTCTGCAGTCTTTTCAACCCGACTACAAGACTACCCAAAAGCTTTCATTTCTTCCTCACACGATCTTCTCCATGTCACCCTCAGCTGGGACAACCAACTCGTCGTTTCCCAATTGGGTTCCACTCGATAGCCTGGCCTGACGCGTGATGTCCCCAGTCGGCCTTCTCAGTGTATGCCCAATCAATCTCCACTTCCTTCCAGTGCATATTTGTTGTATGCGTATATTAAAATTGAATTGTATCGAATGAATTTCTGTTTAGGTGTTTTTCTGAGAAAAAAACATATTTCCATATATATTATCATATGATATAGAAGACACTCACAGTTTGATCAACAACATTTTCAGTGACATCAAATTCACAATGAAGAAAGAGTCAAACAACCAACTAACATTCCTGGATGTTCCAGTCAATAGAACAAATACGAGGAACCTGGAAGCCAAAGTATACAGGATGCCAACACACGCCGACTGATCAAATCCTCAACTACAGTAGCAACAACCCGACAACCCACAAGATCAGTTGCGTGCAGACTGTATTCAGAAGAACGAGACCACAGTGCAGTACAAGAAGTTTAAGGAGAAAGGAATAAAATTACTTGATGTCTATCCTAAAGAAGAACGACTACCCACGAAACTTCATCAGAAGATGCCTATCCCATGAATCGTCGATTGAAATCAACAAACGCATCGCCCTACCGTAAGTGAAGGATATATCAGAAATCACGACAACATCACTGAGACCACTTCGTGGAATTGGTGTGGCTTTTTGCATCTATCTGACCGATGCAGAGGGAGTTTTACTTTATTTACTGGGGAATCAGTATTCTTCTCAATATTCTTTCAGTGGACAGGTGCATAAGCATGAAAATCAGCTATCAAGCTAACAGATTTAACTATCGATCCGGAATAGTTTCCGCAGTGGTATCTAGGGGATGATCATTGTACACGTCGTTGTGTGTGTGTTGGCGGCAAAAACAGTGCCTATGGCCTACAGCATTGGTGTCTTGGCATCGATGTTGTTTAGGTGAACAAGATTTGACGAAATGCCAGGCATCACAATGCCAGGAAGGCGATTGGAGTGACTTCTTCAAGGGTCAATTTGTATCGTATGAGTTGCTGGGCTGATGAACAGATGTCATAAGGCTAGGGTGTGTATGGCCAGAGTGTGATGCAGAGGAATGAGATGTCTGGCGAACTGTATGTACTTCAGAATCACCCTGACGTTCGGATTGGTCTGAACTCTAATCACGCTGCGGATTTCCCAGTCGTTGATATTCTGCAGACATGTCATTCAGTATCTGCACTGTGGCGTGTAAGGTATAAATCATATGGGTTCTCTGGCGGAATCACGTTGCAGTACTGGTAGAGTTCAGGTAGAGTAGATCAAAGTAGAAGACGTACCTTCCAGGAATCATCTTGGCCAGTAAAAAATCTACTTTGAAGTAGTCTTCGTAAGACTTGGACCAACTATCGAAAGTCTTACTAGTATCAAAGACATTACCAGCTCAATTTTAGTACACTTGATTGAAATGAAACATAAAGGGGATATGAATGATTCATTTTCCATTCTGTAGCATGTTCCCATCAACTTTCCAAAAGGTAATCGACTAAGGATCCTTCAAACTTTAGAAGCAGTAGCAATCAGGACCAAACAATGCAAGTTGTGTGTTCAAAAGAGACAAGTATTACCTCTACAATCACTGTGATCCGATCCAGATAATCTAATTTCATACTGTAGATATCCCTTCTTTTCTATATCATTATTATTATTTGTCCCTTGGGTTCGTAGTGGAACATAGGGTTTCAGTAGTACGTCTCCAGTGCGTTCTGTTCTCTGAAACCTTTTGAGCCTGGTTTCATGACAGTCCACAAGCTCTCATTTCCTCCTCGCACGATCTCCTCTATGTCACCCTCGGCTGGGACACGCAACTTGTAGTTTTGCCTTTGGGTTCCACTCGATGGCCTGACCTGACGCGTGATGTCCCCAGTCGGCCTTCTCAGAGTATGCGTAATTCCTCAATATGGACATATAACTATAGGACGTGAAGAAGAAGAAGTTATCCAGGAAAATATTCATTGTTTACTCAAATGGCTATTGAATTGTAATGGGAATTTTGAAGCATTCTAGAAGATAAATTAATCAATTGTGTTGTAAACATGAATTGAGTGAAACAGTTGATGGATTTGTTACTCATACAAGCCACAGCTTATCGATACATGTAGTTATAAGTAGTTGAATAAAAATTGAGTATATCTTATAGCAATTGAGTGATCAAGATAGTAGAAAGTAATGTCTGAAGATACTGAATAGCATAACTGTTATACCATAAATATGTTAATATTATTTTACAATTAAGTTGACCAGTTTTTTATAATCCCCTTTTGATATTTCTCATAATTGAGTCACTTTTCAACTGTCTAACTGTAATGTTATTAGAATTTCCCTTTGGAAACTATTCGATAACGGATACTACAAAAGTGTTACAGACTATCGAAATATACTACTGAGTAATATGAATAGTTAGAAATCAGTCACGTTGAATTGTAGACTTCACCATTCAGATCAAATTGATGCTAAACACTAAATGGCAGTTTCACTTGTCTTAGACTGAGTTTATCGTTGGTGTACTCAGATAAATTCAGCTTACAAAGCTGAAGTGTTGTAATCAGATGAATCTAGTAAGCTACGATGGAATGAATCATCAAACCTTAAACAGAAGAAGATTTGGCTTTCTCCAATAATGTTGCACAAACTCGAAGATCTACAGGTGAAAATTAACAAGTTGGCAGAAGAGGAGAGGTTGCAAAGACGGGATATCTTTTAGGTGAACGTACAGCAGAAGCAGGTGATGAAGGTATCCAACCAACAACAATAACGAGCATCAATCACCATCAGTGGGAGAAACTTAAACGAAGTTGTCTCTTTCACCTACCACTTACCTAGGCAGCATCGTTTCAACTACAGGCAGCACAAGCACAAATGAGGACGTCAAAGCCACGATCGAAAAGACACTAAACAAGGCTTTCATCAACCTGAAATAGTCAATGTGCAGATCTACTGCACTGCACTTCACTCAGTATGAAGCGTGAACAACATCCGGATTTTCAGCACTAATCTCAGTCAAGTCAGTGCTTCTATGTGATGATTGAGAGACTTGACGTGTTACCGAAAGCATTTCCAACAAGCTATAGACAAACACCAACAGGTACCACCTACATTCACTCGATACTGAAGATCAGATGGCCAGAATAATATGAATAAGCAACAAGGGACTCTGTCTTCGCAACGAACAAACCAAGAACCCATCGCCCAATGAATATGCAGAAGAAAGTGAAGATGGATTGGATTGAGCATACACTGAGAAGGCTGACTGGGGACATCACGCGTCAGGCCAGGCTATTGAGGGGAACCCAATTGGGAAACGACGAGTTGGTTGTCCCAGCTGAGGGTGACACGGAGGAGATCATGTGAGGAAGAGATGAAAGCTTCCGAGCGGTCTTGGCGCCAGGTTAAGAAGATTGTACAGAAGAGAGTGAAATGGCGATGTACTACTGAAGCCGTATGTTCCAGTAGGGACCCAAAGGATAAATACTACTACTACTACTACTCACACTACTACTACTAGTACTAACAGTAATAATAATAATAATGAGATCAGTAAATTTTCTACCATTCTCAACTTCATATATTTGTAACTTTTGTCCTTTCGGTCGAAATCGATTCATTAATTTTCCCTCTAAATCTTTATATTTTAGGAACCAAGGGATCCTTGTCTGGAGACTCAAGGATTATGTGGACAGCATTATTGTTATCGTGATCCAAGTAATCTTAAACTTGGTTACAGATGTGCATGCCCATTTGGATTTAAAGCGATCAGTTCAACAAAACCACAATGTGTTAATATAAATGAATGTATTGAATATTCAGATGAAGTATGTTTAAATGGTGGAATATGCATTGATAAAGAACCATCATCAGTTGTTAGTCTAGGATTAACAGAACCAAATTTAGGATATATGTGAGTTGATATTATACAACTCCTCATTCTACTAAACTTTGGGCAAGAAATGTTGATTGAATTTGTGGGCTTGTGGGGATTCAGTGATTTTTCAAGTTGGTATTCATCATAAACTGACATCGTTTGGAAACCTAGGGGCACTGGACACCTGTTTCATCCTATTATGGGACTCCTCAGCGGTGCGCACCCATGACCCTCCCCCCACAGGGGTCGAACCCACGATCTTCATGTTCCATGGCTAGCACGTCAGAATTGAGCCATTGGGTCAGAATCCAGTGATCCATATTTCCTCCTCATGTCAGTTCACGACATAGCGTGATCATCACCGAATGTTATGGTTGAGTATTTTTCCTCAAGGTCACCAGGGTTTTCTCACCGGTGACGACTCATTGGAACTTCAAGATTGACTTGTCTCAGGTAGTCACCAATGAGCACTAGATCAAGTGAATTTAGGGGTTTGTAGGGTTTCCATTGTTCCTCCAACTGATGTGTTAGTCCATAATGAATACCAACTTGAAAAAAAAGTTAATCAGACAGACTAACTAGTACAGAAGTCTATCAGTTGTAGTTGTCATATTTAACAGATGATTACAGAACAGAAGTGGATCGAGAAAGAACGGATACAAGAGTTGACAAGTGTATAAGAGGTGAAGCAGTAAATATATGAAGCTTAATGAAACTATTCAGAACCTTAGAAGATGATAAATAGTGTTATCAACATTCTCTAAATATTCATTTCTCTAATTACGGGGACTTCTGTCACATTTTTCTGCACGTTTCAAACTAATAGTCAAAAACTCTTAGTAAAGTGATATCATGTCTTAATCTAGTTTATTTTAGTCTCTTTCTAGCCAAATACCACTTCGCCTAACATCACACCTTGAGGTCGGCGGTGGGTTGTTCCTGCTCAGTATATATTCAAAGCATCTGATTTGGTAAAGGTTTACAACCTTAGTGATTAATGTTTCTTCATTGCTAAGCCTCATTATTGTTCACATATAATTCAGAAAACTGTTTGAAGAGTTAAAGTGAATGAAATTTCAGCATTTCAGCCTTACTGATAACAAGATAACCTGCATATAGATGTTAGGAGCTCGAATTCTATCTTTTCAATTCAGGTTAGATAATTCACTGATTGATAAAAGAGTTTGGTATGTAATTAACCTAGGCATTATTAGTAAACCAGTAATTTCCACTCACTCAAAACTGAAGATTAGATGACCAGAATAATAAGAATAAGCAACAAGGAACTCACTGTGGCCTGGCAACGAACCAACCAAAAACCTATCACCAAACAAATATAAAGAAGGAAGTGCGAGTGGATATGGCATACACTGAAAAGATTATTTGGATACATTATGTGTCAGGCCAGGTTCCTCGAGTGGAACCCAAAGGGGAAACGATGAGTTGGGGGTTTCAGCTAAGGGTGACATGGAAGAAATCGAGTGAGGAAGAAATGAAAGCTTTTGGACAGTGATGGTGCCAGGTTGAAAAGACTTCAGAGAAGAGAGTGAAATGGCGACGTGCTACTGAAGCCCTATGTTCCACTAGGAACCCAAAACACAAATAATAGTAATAACAAGTAATCTCCACTTATATACTCAAGTTATACTTACAATTAATGTCAACTTCTAATGACAGGTACTGATTGCCAGTGGATTCGAAGGCAGATATTTCATCCTTTATAGGACACATCAGCTGAATCCATCTGCCTTCAAGTCCTTGGTTTCATCATTTATCCATAATATTAAGATATCTGCATCCTTAGCTGAATACCAATAGTGACTGATCGATTCAATGTAGTCCAGGATGGAAAAATATTTTACTGTAACATAATTTCCACATCTTTCGATCAGCTCATTCATCCATTGGATTATATTAGGAACATAATCAGTTGAATCGGATTCATTTCGGTTAGTCTAATCAATGATTGAGTGAACTGGAATCAGTTATCAGAGAGTAATTGATTCTGTTAGTCAATCTTTGATCCAGCTAACAAGTGAACCGATACAAAACAGCAATATACTGAATTTTGTGTTACGAATCACTAGTTATCATTATACCATTTACCTGTATCATTTGGATGGAGGGAATCTACAGGAAGCTCTGCTTTACCTAGACTTCTTGCTTTTTGGCACTAATCAATAAAGTGTATCATGAAATTATATGAAACTGAACCTGCATGATATGAATAAGTTATCGGTTAAGTCAATAACTTCAGTGATGAGTACCTAAATTTAAAATCCCCAATGAAACACCAGTCTCTTCAAGGTTATACATGTGTCCTGTTGATGAATACCAATAAGTATGAAACGTAGATGAAACACAACTTCTTTTCGATTTTACTTTCACTAATACAGTACTTCGCTTGACGTTCATAATTTCAAATTTGCTCGGTAGACTTTGATCAGTTTTAGGCTGTAAGGAATAGACAACAAACAGAAAGAAAAATGTGATGATCATGAATTTATGTGAAGTATTTTGGTTAAGACAGTAATTGATCATCAAGTGATTAACTCAACTATCATAATCATAATTTTACCACTGAAAGTCATACAGATGTACACTACTATTACTTTATGCAAATAAACGAACCAAAACTCTACATTATAGTGTAATTAGTTCAAGCAGACTAACTGTAAAGTAGTCCAGAGATAGAAATGTGTTAAAATGATCGAAAAGAAGGATTTAGGTAGTCAAAAAAGCAATGTGTGTAGAGTAACAAGATAGTCAGTGGCTAACGAAACCTCTTTAGGGGTACAAAAGGCTCAGTTGGCTTTTGTCAATTTTCGCCACCTGTGGTGCCATCACGATATCTGATTGTCTAGTAAGGGTCGAGTGTACTATGCTGAAGTTCATTCTATTCCACTTTAGGGTTGTGAAACATCTCTATTAGAGGTAGAAGACGTGAGAAGGTTTCAGGTGTTTCACTACCATTGCGTTCTAAGTAAAAGCTGTATTCCGTGATGTTACCACTTACGTGAGCAACGCAGAAGTCAAACTTGGAGTTTTGACTAAGAGAAGTAAGACAATTGATGGGGTTGTGAACCTTCATCGATTAAGATGATTGGCTCCTACATATGTTATGTATGCCTAGTCGCTATCTGTCTCATCACAGAATGTTGGCCGAAGTAGGTTCAGGGGGGAAAAATGTTTGAGACGATCAGACTAAAACATGGCATCCATGCATGAAGTAGTTGACTGTTAGTGTGATCCATCTAAGGTGATGCAGGCTAGCTGGTTGGAAAACCGATGTCAGTGGTACAAATTCTCACACTAACCGCTATACCTAATCTCAGCATCATCTATTTTATTACCTTTCGATTTGATTTATTTGACATGAGGTGTGGCAACTTTGACTGTTACATAGGAATGTCTGGTCTTATGTTAGTCTTGATGATGAAGATGCATACTACCACCAGCCCCCCCTCTTGGATATAGGTAGTTTACGGTGAGGCTAAAAGTTATCCCTTGGTGTTATAGGAGTGTTTTCTGTGTGCATATACTGTGAAGTGAAAATTACAATCATAAATCCTTTCAGTTATAATTTAAAGCTTCAATTTACTCGCTCTAATCTATGAGTATCATTCAGCCTGAATAACTATACTTACTTATCACCTGAGAAATTGAAATGTAGCTAATATTTTGTATTACTATTTATCGACATACTTGTTATTCTCCATTGTTTTGTTGGATCGAATTGTTCGACCTCTATTGGCATATGGGCTCAATAAATAGTAATAACTACTACCCATTGTACAAGAAATGGCTATCATTCCTCCATGACATAGTGGATAACGCCTTGGCGTTTTAAGCAATGGGTACAAGGTCCGAGTCCAAGTGGGAACAACATCACTGGGGTGCAGGTACATCCAGCTGAAGAGTTCGAAATAGGACGAGACGAGCATCCTGGATTCTTCTGTTAGCTACAACCAACCAATTTATCATAATATTTTGTACATGAATAAATGGTATAAAAAATATGATTTATTTTAAAAACTATACAAATAAATAAAATATTCTTACAGAACACAGAAAAACATGACAACGTGTGACAAGTATAATAACATATATGAATGAAGTAGTGGAGAATATTTGAAGCTCAGGTGGGTGGTTTTGGTCATTGTTTAATCTTGAAGAAGCTTTCATCTTGTCTTTCTAGACAGTGACATCATCATCACTAACTTCAGTATGAAGTGAGTGAGCTGTCAATATCTCTTCGTCAATGATTTAGTAGCTTGCTCTGACGATATGGTCTGTGATTGGTTGTTTCCTTCGATTGTTGTGTCATTCATCCTGTTTGCTGTTCCTTTGTTTCACCGCTGACTTTTTTGATTGATAGATTGGGTCTATGTTTATACATCTATTGATTATCGACTGACTCCTGAATATCAAGAGGATTCTAATAATTCTCTGATATTGTTTATGTCTCATCTTTCTGTCCACAGTTGTTATCCATGTGCATTGAAATGAATGACGAAATGTCGTGTGTATGTGTGTGACGTTTAATAGTCAACTTCAAGGAGAAATAAAGAAAATTGCTTGGTGTCTATCCTAAAGAAGAACAGCTACTCACGAAACTTCATCAGAAGATGTTTATCCCGTGCATCATCGACAGAAATCAACAAACGCATCATCCTACCGTATATAAAGAATATATCAGAAATCACGATAAGATTAGTCAGACCATTTGGTGGATTCCACTGCTAGCCACTGTCCATCATTACTATACATAATTGAAACACATGGAATATAGAGGAATCCACACAGGAGCCCATATGCCAACAAAGACCGATCAATTTGCTTGAATCAACGACGCTGTAATACAAGCAATAACACTATAACCATCATTATTGTTATTTTAATCACCCAGGATAAACTGAATCTTTCTGACGGTTTATAGTCTTTAAAATAATTTTTTTGTTTCAATGTACGTAGTAGTGAGTGTTTAACTTTCTGTTTTTTTTCTTTCCAAACTGCCTACAAATTAATTTAGATGTCTATGTCGAGATGGTTATTCAGGTTCACGTTGTGAGCGTAGAATATCACTAATAGAGTGGACTACATGGTCTGCCTGGACAGAATGTTCAGTAAAATGTGGTATTGGTTTTCATACACGTTTTCGTAGTTGTCCATTACCAAATCATTGTACTGGTTCACATATACAAACTGGTAGATGTCAAGGTCCTGTATTCCAATGTTATGATGAAAACGATGAAGAAATACCAGAATTAAGTCAATCAGGATGGAAAATTTTAAAAAGTGTAAGTTAAAATAAAATTTACTGGTCTTGTATACTATTCGCAGTGGCGTCTTTGTTGCATACAGCTGAGGAGTCCCAAGAAGGGGCGAAACAGCTATCAAATGCTCCCAGGTGAATACAAACTTGAAATCGATAAACTTCATAAACCTCTGAAATTAGAAACAAATCTTGTATTCATCTTGAACACAAGATGCGTTTTCCCTCCTATTTAGGTCTCGTCAGTTGCATGCATCTCCACCTTAGTGAGAGACTGGAATCCAGTATACATTGCTTTAAGTGTCACAGCGTTATCCATAGAGAAATTGAAAGTCAAGTTTTGTTACTGTACGATGCCAAGGGTGTTTACTGTTAACTGGTGTGGAATTTTAACTAGACTCTGGTGATCCTCCATCTGATTTCAATTTGTGATGTAAGCCGTTTTCAAATGTTACTAAATTGTCTTTTTCGGGGCTATCTGATACATCATATAGTGAAAGAGTATTAATATAAGTGTAAAACTTGAAGACTGTGGTGGAATGTAAATTTCATATTGGATTTCTGTATTTGATTTATAACACACACACACACACACACACACACACTTAGTCTGTGATACAGGATTATTCACTGGATGATCACGTTTCGAGCGTAAATGATTATTGCTCACAATCATATCCAATGTGTAATCATACTCCACCCTCAACAATCGATTTTTATAGTCCTGTTAACTCGCATCGTTTGTTTTTATTGGTAATAAAAATTTTCCATATTTCTGGTATGCGTGTTGAGTCATTTCTATCCCACAAACATTGGATGTCTGCAGATCCGATGAACAGAGATTCATTAAATTTTTTTGAGGGGGTTGTGGAGATTTGGAAATACTTCAAGTTGTTATTCATCGAAGACTGACATCAGTTGGAGGAACAAAGGAAACCTGTGAGCACTGGACAGCTGTTTCGTCCTAGTATGGGACTCCTCAGCAGTGCGCACCTACGACCCCACCAGCAGGGATCGAACCCGTGACCTTCAGGTTCCGCGGCCAGCGCGTTACCATTGAGCCAGTGGGTCAGAATCCAATGCTCCATATTTCCAACTTCTGTTAGCTCACGATATAGCGCAAACCGCCACCCAATGTCATCGTTGAGTATTTGTCCTCACGGCCATCAGGTTCGATCCCTGCTGGTGGGGTCGTGGGTGCGCACTGCTGAGGAGTCCCATACTAGGACGAAACAGCTGTCCAGTGCTCCCAGGTTTCATTTGTTCCTTGAACTGATGTCAGTCTTCGATGAATAACAACTTGAGAGATTCATTAATCAATTTCTCTTTCCCGTCATCTAATTATATTGAACTGGAGTACAGTGGTTTTTAACCCACCCAACCTATTGTGTTGTTGTGTCAATAGATCCATTGCATTGATTTTATTCGCGTCTGTCGTTCTATATTCAGCAACATTCCTATGTTCGGCTATTCTGACTGACCCCGACCAGCTACTTTGACCTCAAAGTCATTACATGAAATTTCATAGATTAGATTATTTTGCTCAATTGTTTCTATCGGATCCTTAAACCAGCTGACAAAGCCACCCTAGTTCCAGCTTTGTTGAGGATCCTACATAAAGTTCGTCATGTACCTTCCTTATATGGTAACACAACAGAGGCTGTGAACTCCTTCTTACCCGTGTTGTCGTTATTATTAGTACTCATGTTACCTCTTATTATTTCGTTTCTTACGTGTTCGTAGGAATTTCTTGATAAACTGCGGAGGATAATTATTAACTATTAGTCCTTCTTTTACGTACTTCAGTTCCTTGTTTAGGTAGTTGCACTGACTAGTCAGTTTTCTGTCTCTATCATGTAGACATTTGACTAAACCTGCCTTAACTGACTGACATTAGATGAGATGACTTGGAATCTAGATACCTATTGGACTATGTCTGTTCTCTGTAGACGGTAGTATCGAAACCACCATCTGTCCTTAGTTTTATCCTGCAATCCAACATAGGTACTTCTTCTTGTTCATCTTCTTCCTACATCGTAATTGAATTGGATTGTGTCTAGTACTCGCCTATTGCAATGCAATGCATTAACACACAACTACACAATAGGGTGGGTAGGATAAAGCCACTGTCCACTATTATAAGGTGGAGACGGGAGGAAAAGATTGATTACTAAAGCTTCATTTATCGAATGAATACCCCAACACATGCATAGGAATAACGCAACACATATGCCAGAAATACTGAAAATTTTATTGCCACTGAAAGCAAAGAATGTGAGGTGACAGCACTATAAAGATCAAATGTCGAAAGTAGAGTGTGATTACACACTGATTTGATTATGAGCACGTCATCCAGTAAATAATCCTGTATCATAGTATGTGTTATACATTAAACAAACAAATCTAATCTTGAAGTGATAGAGTATTATTTACTAGATGACATGTCGAACACAGATTATTGCTCGTAATTATATTGTAGTTGGCGTTGCTGATTACAATGGATGTAAGTAGTATATGTTGAGATGGTGGCAGGAATCATAGGGAATTACCAGCAGTGGGTAAGGTTTCTGCCAAGAGCAACGCAATGGATAACGCAGGCGTATTACAGTGGATGCTGCTGATAAGAGAGAGGAGATTAAGAGCAATCAAGACAGGAACAGAAGAGGAACGAAGCACATTTGCAAATGACTGGGTTAGTGCAAGGTGTACCATATGTAAGGACTACCGTTCCAATTGTATACAGTTTAAATCTTTCTAGTTTGTCCTCTCTCCTCTAAATATTACAAAAGCATGACGTGGAAGGCCATTTATCCAAGTGTGCAAGTCTCCAGCAGTTTCCAGTAACGACACAGTAAAGCGGTGGGGCTGAGAACTGTAAGGTCTCAAAGCTAGCACTCCACCATTTAATCACTGTGTTGACATCCAGTGAACCACCGCTTCTCGCTGGTGTCGGATCGTAGTATACTGCAATCATTACCCAGTGTCATCGATGGGCATCTGTAGCTACTACATACTTGGTTGATTTAAAAAGTTATACCTTCTAATTAGAACTTCATGAGATCACCAATGATCGAAAAACATAACAGTGAAGAAAACTTTCTTTTCAACGATCCTATTCCCTACAGCTGTGGAATCATACTTATGATCAATGGAAACAAACAACAACCCTACTATTATTCAAAAGGGTTTCTTAAAAACAGGAGACGGCTACTTTGACCATAGTAAGGTTGTTCAACTCACTTAATCTTTTTTCAATACTTTGATCAGATTTCAGGATTAGAACTCTTAATAGTTTGGCTATAAATTAGTCGAAATACTTCGGAATCTCATTTTAAACATTTACGGGTGTTTAACTGGTTTCAGAGTGGTATTTTATCACAGAGTGATAACAGTTAGGGAACGATTAGAAACCTGAAAGTATTAGACAGGTGTTTCATTCCAGTATAGAACTTCTTTGAAAGTGTGTGGAGACCCTGTGTAATTTACCTTGAATGGACTCTTTTGAGGTATCAGTTGTTTAGATATGAAGCTGTTTTCAAGAATAGAACTGGTAACATTCCTTTTCTCTCCTCAGTTCTATTCTCGAAAATGTTCTTCATTATTACGTCACTGGTCTATCAGTAACACTATTCGCATTTCATTTAACGTTAACATTTACAGCTTAAAGAATGCTGTTTCCTTACATAACAGAGAGTGAAGCAGTAAAACGCTTTTATAATGTATGTTTAATTTATTTCACCAATATATTTTTGGATCCGTGGGTCATTCATTGGCTTAGGGAAGTGACTTTCAATAAATGCTTCATGGGTTAGCATTCCGCTTAACCTACGGAGGCTTGGACAGCTAGGTAGTATCATTAGTAAGCCCAACACAATAGGTGCGTGGCTCATTCCATACTGTATGAGTGTGTACAAGGTTGTTGAGTGAATTTGTATTCAGTTCAAGTTTTCGATCGTTAATACTCTTAATGAACAAATGGAAAAAGAGCTTAAACCTCATCGGTTGTTGCTTTCACTTAACAGAGGGACTAATTGAAGGATTATAATGTCAAGTTATGATTACTACTCTGTTGTTGTGTTCACACAGCTGACTGACTTAATTGTGTAGCTTTAATTGGTATTTTGAACAAAAATTTAGAAGGAACTCAGCTAAGAAAAAATTGTTTTTATTGTCTTAATGGCTCATCCTAATGAAGTGATCGGTTGTTTTTGCCATAATCAAGGTATTGTGTGCTCAGGCATTTCGACTAACTATCTTGTTAACATGAATTATGACCTTCTTAACGGATATGCTTATTTCGCAGAGGTTTATAGACTGAGTCAGTGTCAATAGGCCCATTAACTGCCGAAAGAAATCACAGGTATTATTTGTTCAATACTATGAGGTAGGATATATCAGTTGCTGAGGTTCATTTATTAATAAATTGACTAACTGAATAACTGAGAGAACTGGCTTACCTCAAAGTCTGACTGAATGATTACTGGTCAAGAGAGACTGGACCGGATTTTAGTGAAGGCAGAAAAAATGGATAAGCCTACCATTATTATCATTATACTACAAGATAGAAATACACACTTATATTGCATAATAATACACAATGTGGCTGCCTAACTGATGATGATATATGGTGAATGTGTTGAATATGATTCATTTCTCCATTAGAAATTGATAATGAATATGTAAATAATTGAATCCAATCGGTTTTACTACGTAGCCAATAATCTGAATGATTGAAGTGAATAGTCCATTGATTGTTAAGCTGGATAGAAATCACCATTATTTGTTGGTATGTAGGCTCCAATATGGATGCCTTGATCTCACCTGGAGATTAAGTACGATCTAATTTATGTTTTCAGATTCAGATTTGTCGTTTGAGGTAGGAGGCTGGGAGCCCAGATCATTTTCCAGTAGATTTCTGTGCTTGTTCAATCCCTTTTTGAACGAGTCAGTTGATGATACGGACACCACTTCATCTGGAAGCCGGTTCCAAGAGTTGATTACTCGACGCGAGAGCCAATTCTCTGCGGAGACCATGTTCCTTCCTTGCTTTTGTAGTCTCTTACTATGTCCTCTCAGGTCTTCCGACCTAGTGGGAAGGAAAAGAGGAGATAGATCAGGTCTGAAGTCACTTCTTAGAATTGTGTATAGCATGATTAGGTCTCCCTTCTGTCTGCGATAGGACAATGTAAAGTGGTTCAGCCCCTTAAGTCGGTCTTCATAGGTGAGGCCAGGCATCGCAGGGATCATACGAGTGGCTACCCTCTGAACTCTTTCTAGAAGGTCTACGTTACCTCTCAGACATGGATTAGTCGCCTGTGTGCAGTTTTCTAATTTTGACCTAGCTAAGGATGTGTATAAGATGGTGAACATGTTACCACTTATTTTTGTAAACGTTCTGCGTAGTGTCCAGAGAGTTCAAAAACTCTGAGCTGCTACCGATCGATAGTGAGCCATGGTTTGTAGGTTGTAGCTCATTGAGACTCCTAGGTTATTGTTGGCCAGTACTAACGGTAAAGGAGCCCCATCAATATCGTAGGTGTTGCCGTATGTGTGTGTGCTTCAAAAGCATGCTCACACATTTGCCAGCATTGATGGGCATCAGCCACTTCTCTGGCCAGGCAAACAAGCTCTTTAGGTCTACCTGGAGCACACATGTATCCTCGTCGTTCGTAATTTCCAGCCAGATTTTTACATCGCCAGAGTAGAGAGTCATAAGGGATTTCGCGATATTTGGCAGCTCGTTTAGGTATAGGAGAAACAGCGGGGGACCCAGGACTGTGCCTTCCGGCACTCCACTCTCTTCCAACCTCCAAGTGGAGCGCTGAGAACTAATCCTTACACTTGGTCTCCTACCAACAAGAAAGTCTCTTATCCAGGCCAGCAGACTGCCAGTGATTCCAAAACTTTCCAGTTCCCCGAACAACTCGGAATGAGGTAGTTTGTCGAATGTTTTACTAAAGGCAATGGAAATGACATCTACAGGTATCCTATCACCTTTAGACTTAACCCAACTTTCTCTGGCTGTTAAAAGGTTCGTCAAGCAAGAGAAATTTCTACGAAAACCGCCCTGTGAACGAAACAGTATAGTATTGCTCTCCAGGCGGACTGTGGTCGCTTTCTTGACTACTATTTCTACAATTTTCACCACAGTACTAGTCAAACTCATCGGTCTGTAATTTGATGGCAGCTGCCTGAAACCTGCCTTGCGGATAGGTGTTACTATGGCATACTTTCAGTCTGAATATAGCAGTCAGTGGGCCGGCAACATAGAGTTCAAGCTCTCTGAGCAGCCTTGGGTGCACCTCATCCGGTCCCTTTGATTTTTCCACATCAAGAGTACTTAATGTCCGAAATACATCATTGCGACCGATATCCACACACTTTATTCTGTTGGGTGTCATTGCTTCCACTGTTGGATAAGTGTCCAAAGAAGATTCCTGTGTGAAGACCTCAGCAAAATATCCAACCATGACTTCTGCTTTTTCCCCTATCCTCCTCTATCAGAAGGTCATTTCCTATCCCACTGATTAGGGCTGGCACACCACGATACACCTTACTTCTATGGTTCACACAGGAAAATAACCTCTTTGGATGTTGTAACGTAGCCTGAGCGAGATGCGTTTCAAAGCGTATTCGAGACCGGCGGATAGCAGTGATACATTTATTGCAAGCTTTTCTGTAATGCTTCACCACTTCGGGCGTGCCGAGGTGGGTGGCAAGACTCCAACACTCCAACACACTCGTGGCAAGATTCGGATTTCGTGTTTCGAGGACTGTGTATCCGTCCTCCGTAACAGTCCACGGAATGAACGGTTGAGTCGCCCGTACATATAACTGTTTGAAGGAGCACCACACAACTTTAACTGAGACATCTGGATCGGCTGACCAGTCCTCCAAAGAGGCTGCCAGGTTAATGGCTTCCATATTAGCCTTCCGTATGTTGGGTCTGGCTGGGGTATCGACCTGGTGCAAGACTTCTGCTGCGAATCTGAAGATGATCGCAGAGTGATCACTTTTACCAAGTGGCGCTAGGCGCCGGATGAAGCATACATCACCCGTGTGTAAGAATACTAAGTCTAGAACTGTGGGAGCATGCTGATGATCATATTAGGTTTGTATCCTTCAGACTTCAAACTTCGTGTTGTAGAATCGATGGATGGCGGTCGCTTGGGTTCTACGCTTGTCTCATCAGAGTACATCCTAATGTGTTGATGTTTCCACTAACCTGTGATGAAACCATTTACTTGGTGCTTTTGTTGTCAGCCTATCCCAGTCAGCTGACAGTGCATTGAATTCTTCTACAACCAGGTATCGGCATTTATCTGTCCAGAAGGTCAGCTTATTCAGGAGGAAGTCTGCTGCCTCACATCCAGGTCTGCGATGTATCAGGATCACGTTAACATCTTGTCCCTTGCATTCTAGTCGACGGCGCAGCATTTCACATGTCCCACTTTCATGTGCAACCATTTCTATGGCTTTTGTAGCCCAGGTACTATTAACGTAAAGGTTGACACCACCACCTTTGCATGATAACCCGTCACTTCTAGGAGGGACGAACCCTCGTGTGTTTCATGGTCAGTGATCCAAGAAGAGAGCCAAGTTTCTGAGGTAGTAATGATGTCAGAACTCTCGTTACTTATCACATTACTGAGCTCAGTCCACTTGTTTAAAAGGCTACGTGCATTTGTATGCAAGACAACGAAACTACTTGAATGGGTTTCCGTCCTATCCATTAAGGCTTCAAGATCATCCGTCGCCGAAACCTCACTACACGAAAACCCACTAATTTCAGACCTCGCTCTCCAGCTGCTGATCTGGATTTTAGTTCTGCTTCTGCTTCTCGTTTTCCGATTTGATCTGCAAGGGCTGGATTCTTTCACACAGACACTCTAGATCCTTGAAGTCTGTGGGCATTCTTCAGAATCTGATTCCTGTCATCTGCTGACTTCAACATGACTTTAGATAGCCGAAACTTACTTTCAGTAATGACTATCTCCTGTTTTCCTACTCTATATATCTTGGGTGGGGTGACCCCTGGCACGCTTCCCAACAAAAGCTGGTTTATCAGACTTCGCGCTTTGCCGAGGTCATGTTCGAAACGCTTGCATGGTTCTGGGTCCCTAATTTCCTCCACTTTGTGGAAGATTAAGGACCCGCCAAGGAGCTCTACTCCATCTTTGCTTTGTGAAGCCACGATAGCTGGTTTGATGACCGTTATTGGCTTCTCAGCATGCCGTTTAGGCTTGGCTACTTGCCATTTTTCATACTCGGGTGTGCATGGTTTACCAAAGCCTAGTCCAGTGACCTTGACCCTGGGGGCCTCAGAACGGACTTGCTCCCAGTCTTGTCTAGTTTTTGTCAATGATTAGGTCGCCGGACTGGGTATGACCTGCGTGCTGAGTGGTTCCGTCGTCAGAACTGAGAGCGCTTCACCCCTGTTTCTTTCATCTGGAGTAGACCTAGTCTTACGGTCAGTGGTTTTCAGATTGGGGATGCAAGAACCAGAAGATACTCACTTTGCCCTGCCCGGCGTGGTTTTTTCCAAGTCATTGTCAGCAAACGTAGTAGGTAGTCTACGCGCCCGACTTGCAGCTTGTCGCGGAAGGTTCTTAAAATTCTGCACAGCAATCTGTGTCAATGGGTGCTATGTCGTTATCACTGTCACAGTTATCAGCTTTGAATTTCGACGACAGCTTCTTAGTTATCATTTTCAGAAGTGTTTTCGCTTCTTCTACCAGAGTGCGAATATCCGAGCAGCACAGCGTACAAAGCCAGACATTTTCTGTGCTGCTGTACCTCATATGCTGAGGGTGTGAGGCCTGTGCGGTTATCGTGAGCCAACTCACTTTCTCTACACTGCACACCAGAGGCCACTGTGAAGTGGCACCCAGTCCTACCACAAGCATCTTTGCGACACTGGCTTACCATGTAGCAGAAACTACAGAAATCCACTCAGTAAAAGTTCCCGTCTCTTTCTGATCGACTATTCAGATCAGAGCACAAACACAACAGCCTTTGATGTGTAAACACAAAAAAATGCCAAGAATCTAGCTGAACGTGAAAAGTCACTCCCCTCTACAAACAGCGCCCGTAAACAAGCCTTATTTAGCATCTAGCACTGAACTCCAGAACGGCTATCTTTTCCTGTTTGAAACTTGTCGGCTGGACGAGGCTGCATCCCATTGAGTCTTAGTTTTCAAACTGGGAGTAGAGGTCTCGAATCCTCTCAGCAACCTTGAAAACATTCGTGAGTTGGGCAGTGAGCCTCACCTATTGTATGAGGGCTGGTGATACTAGAACAAACCTAGTGTTGCGTGATCCTAATTTTGCCCAACTTTTGCCAGAAATTCCCTATAACCCTAAAATAACTTCATTTTTGCTGTTCTGGTGCCCACCTGGCGTCTTTGCTAGCTTTTTTTCCACTGGTTCTCAAGGTTGACCTCACGCCGGCTGTTAACTCTCTCAGCTTATCGGTGAATTTAGTTTGGCAAGGTCGCTTGGAACTTTCTGGACGTTGTTGAAACAGTTTGAGGTCTCTGCAAACCTTCCATATTCTCTTCATGTCTTTGTGTGTCAGTGGCATTATTGTCTATGTTAACATCTAGAGTAGATTCTTTTGTGGGTTAGACTTACACCACTCGTCGACTACTAGGCTACATCACTGGTCATTGCATCTAGGTAAGCGTAGTGGGTTTTGAGCTCACGAATCCAGTAGCACCTATCACCTCAAATGACCGTGTGGTCCATCAGGTTAGTGAACAACGATAGCAACCCGCTGGGCAACGCTCATGCTTGTGTGCGTAAATATGTTTTTGAAAGTTTTTTAGAAATTTTTTATCATATTTTACTCTTCAGGCTTTTGGTCATTCGTTCCTTCTTCTTCTTTTCTCCATCCAGTGGGGTATTGAATGGCACCCGGATGATGGTCACTCACTAAATGATGCATTTTATTGGAATGAAGCTGATGACGATTGGGGAAGTCTGCATTACACCCATCCGGGTACTGTTAATCTGTTCGATATCTTAGAATGGACTCAAGCACTACAATTAACTCGTAAATGGACAATTAGAGAACTGTTAGTGTTTCATTCAATCATATTAGCTGTATTATTTACGCCTTTATGTTTAATTGTATTTGGTTTGGCTAAAATGATTCAGCGCGTTCTATATGCAAAAAGAATAAGATTAAGAAGATAGTGAATAGATGGGTCTTGAAGTTGTATTCACTTTTCCTCGTTCGTTTTCTTCCACACTTAACCTTTTTCCATGTTTTGTTGCGTGACATTGAATAAAATCCTCGTAAACTGTGTAACCTTTTTCCTATAATCAGCTGGAATCAATTAAATTTTTGAAAGATGGATGTTTCTGTGTTTAGTGTGTGGTGGGAGAAGAAACGTTTTGGTGCGTTTGTTAATATCTGTAATTTCCCGTTGTTATGCTGGGTTGAACCGTTCGGGCTTTGTTAGCGTATGAGCTACTATACGGATGCCTCTATACAAGAGTCGGTTGTAGTGCCTGATTGTCCCAGTAGATAAAGTTTTGGCGTTTGAGGCGATGGGAGCTGCGTTAGGATCTCTTTGGGAACAACAACACTCTGCTAGGGTGCAGGTTCGTCCGGCTGATGAGTACCGAATAAGGAGAAACCGGCATTTTTGATCCCGCCACTAGCCACTAGTAAGGGTCTATGTTCACCAGGTTATAAACATGTTTACCACTTTCGCTAAGCGCCAGCTTTCCTGAGTTTTATTTAGAAATAATAAACGTGGATTAATAGTACGTGCCAGTGACTGCGTTTAATAACAATAATAATGATGGCCCCATTCTGAAAGATATTTAAAGAATATATTTATACACATACTATATTCAGAATCTCCTTCCCATGGTATTTGCATCCGGACAGATTTAATTTGAGTGCCTTGTATACGAAAGTGACCCTAAGATTCAAGTAACGTATGAAACTGGTTGGAAAATAGGGAGGGTCCCAAGTGACTGTCGTTGCATTGACTGCTAAAGGAAGTAATTTGTATATATAGTTCAGGTGACTGTGCTTATTTTACTTTCATGTTTCAAACGAAGAGATGCAACACCACGACAGAGGTTAGCGTTCAAAAGAGGAAGTGCGGGAAAAAACAGTCGTTAAAAGATCCACAATGATATTTCCTAGTGAGCATTTGGTATCAGTTAAAAGTTACTATGTAAATCAATTGGAGTTTACATATAGAATGAAATCAGAATGTTACTTGAGGTAGCTGCGATCAAACAATGCAGAACGATGCCTCAGTCAAAAGTGTATAACTTGAGCAGTGTGGTAGAATGTAATTCCACTTCGCTTGATTTCTTTGTTCCACCACCCAGTGGAACAGTGTCATTTACTGGATTAAGTTTCACCTTGATATGGCTATGGACAACAAATCGTGTCCCAGACATGAACCCATAATCCAAAAGTCATTTGAGTGAACAAACAGTACTCTTTTCGATGATTTCTCTACGTTCTGCATTTATGTGTACATAGTGAGGAATCATGCGTCAACAATAACGGGAGTTCGCTTATCAGCTTGTTAATACCAGTATGCAGTTGAGGAAGTTGGTTCGGAAAAGTCTTATGTGGATGTCAATGATGAGATCAGTTGTTACAAACCCAGTTCAGAGCAGCTGATTGTCTAAGTGATTACGCAGCTTGTGTAACACCATAAGGCGATACAGTAATAAAACAATGGGAAAGTGATCATGAGAGCTGGATGAAGTAAACTAAAAAGATCACCCCAGGAATCATACCATGATAGAATGTCGCTTATGCTGGGCGACGAAACGGGTCAAAAGAATTTTTTTAAATTGTTTTAGGCTACTTGTATGAAGGGATATCTACGTTATGGAACTTGAAAATAAGACTGCCTGAGGTAGGAAATAAATGAATTTGTGCGTCCCAGTCGCCACTGTGTCTTCAGTCTGAAGGATTCGGAGCCGGGTACCTTTCGGCCAGTTGATGGGAACCCGGTAGAGAATTGAAAACGATTGTTCAAATCCACCTTGCAGTTCGTTTTAACCAAGCGTGCTAATATGGAGCCGGGAGTGGCATTTACCACACATTTACTTAACCGCGCTGTGAGGTGTTCGTGAGTGCAGAAAAGTAAAGTCCTGGAGCAGCGGCCAATGTAAGCAATGCTGTTTCGCTGCGTGGTACATCTAAGAGACTGATTGCAATGTAGGTACCAACCAAGTCTGTCTCTTAAGTCAAGGGAAAATGGGGGTCACTGGAAGGTAATTAGAACAAGTTGATCAAGTCACCCTTCATCCCCAGGTAACTGCTGCCCGCTGAACAAAACCGTAGTACTAGTATATGAGTCTTGCGAGTAGCCGAATAAGACCTAATTTATCAAAACAGGTTCAGTAATTACGCTTATAACCTTATATACTGGCTGATGATGGTTTGTAGTGGAATCTTACCGGAAACTGAAAGCATCATAAACAGTTAGATTCATCGCTTACCATAAGTGTTCAAATATTTGCCCACTGCAGACTGATGTAATTAGTGTAGCTATCTCGATAAGACAGAATCGTTCAGGAATTCAAATTACTTGCACACATCCATCCCCATTACAACCAGCGCGCGCACTCACCTACATATAAATATCCGATTGTTAAATATTAAGACATTCTGACAAATCCCGGAGATTAAATAGCTTCTCCCCGCCGTAAGAATGGCAGCTCGTGCGGCACTAAAAACGACAAAGTCACTAGTATGCAGTGTTACGGGCCTTTGTAGACTAAAATAATCCGTGATCCTTATTGGCTGGTGCACACTTCCTTCCTTGTCGCACAATGTTATCTGAGGTAGGTTTGAGCTTGAAAAAGGGTTTGGGAGGTCAGACTAAAACATGTTATCAATGTATGAAGCCCTTGACTGTTGGTTTGAGCCATGTGGGGCAATGCGCACCAGCCGGTTAAGGTTCGTGGGGCAAAAGAAACCAATGGTTGGGGGTTCTAGGTGATGTGTTTCAGGACCGATGTTAGTGGCGCAGATGTACACACATAATAATAATATTCCTGGACATACAGGCGCACGCCATTTTTACAGGTACGAATAAGTTAATATAAAAATTAAATTCATCTTCATGGAAGGTAATCTGAACCCCTACTCATTGTCGCTATAAGGTACAAGCGCTGCATGTTCATATAATAGAACATCCCAACAGAATAAGTTTAGCGGCCAGAATCCAATAATCTTAGCCTGAACGCGGGAAATAGCTAGGCGGTGCCAACTGACGTGAATCTGACTACTTCCTGCGTTCTACTGTATAGCTTCCTAACTTCCGCGAGTGACGCTCAGTCAAAGGTTAGATCAAAATACCAAAAAATGGTTTATAGTAATTCAATAGTAGATTCGTAACAAAATCTGTGGTACTATCAAAGCAACAATAAGGTATGTCAAAATTACAAAAATACCTCAACAGTGCCGTCGGGTAACTATACGGTCCAAAATCTTCTCGGGTAGAAATACGTACTACACGGTAAAAACTGGTTAAACAAATACAACTGTTAAGCACCTGTCGGTCAGTAGGAATATTCCCGGCAAAAGGGATCAAAACTCTGCCTACAGGAATCAAATCAACAAACAAACGTTCCCAGTAGACAGTCAAAAGACAAACAGTCAAATCACTGCACAACCGTAAGTTGAACCAAAACAAAATGTCGTGCGCAGTAAAACAACATCACCTTATCAACAGTCCAGCGTCACATAATAGGAAAGTGAAACACTCATAATAAGTCTCAAACATACAAAGGCAAATACCGAGTGTAAAGTCAAATAAGACAGTTAAACAAGCAAATAACATTACACCGGCGAGGGTCAAAGGTACACCATCCATAACGAGGGTAAAAATGTTAAAATAAATGTCAATACAATCAAATGAGGGTGATCGAGAGGGATTTTTAGATCAATTTTCCGTTACAATAAGTGTGCGGAAAATTAACAAGTTGGACAAGTTGAAGTATTGTCTTCGTATTAACAAAAAAACCGGGTTTGTATCTAGACACTGAAGGTGTTACCTGGAGAAAAATAAAGCTTGAAGCTAATACTTCCATTGTAACAGTTTGTACTTCTTGCTTGAGATAATGATGAAAAGTTTGTGAAGGAATGTATGCATTAATTGTTTACATATTGTGCTTCATCGATGATTCCAGGACTGTATAATTCATGCATGTTAATACCATTCCACAACAAAGATTCATAATCTTGATGAATATTATGACTGAAAGCAAAATATTATCCCTGTAGCGCCTCACAATCCCCCAAAATCAGTAGCCTAGGGTTCGACGAGATTCAACACCGATGTTGGCCATCACAGTATTATCGGCCCCACTGAGCTGAAGGTATCCGGTCATGCATCCATGCAATTTGGCCCGCTGTTGTGTTACCTCACACGGTTCATGATCAACCCTCTAGCCAGCTGGTTGAAACGCATCGGTACTTTGACACGAGCTCCCAAATATACTATTCCATCTGAGTACGCTATTGTGTTCTTCCTTGATGGCGCATTCGTGGACATATTACCAGTATGAGTAATTGGTGATTAGTCCTTGTGTCTGTCAAGTTCGTGCAAGGATAGTTCCTGAACTCATGATCCTCTCTTTTTCGTACTTGTACATCTTCGTTAGATATCCCAGGTTCCATCTCCATGTTTACTGCCCTGCTGAGACTTCTCACGGTTTTTCGGGGGCAAAAGTATTTTGGAAGTGTGAGCCACTGCAGTATTTACTCTCAGTGCTCTGAGAAGCCGGTGATGTTTTAATTGCCTTTGTGGAGACTGTCCTGCAGCCGTGAGTTTGCATTTAGAGCTCGTTAGGGCAGCAACCATCCGAGTCTTGGGTCAAACTTCACACCCCAATATCCTTGACAAATTCTCGGGGTCAGATTTGTCGCACAAGTTCACCATCTCTTGGAAAATTTGCGGTAAGCGCGTGGCTCAGGACCAATGACCCGTTCTAAACAGTGCAGCGAGTTACGCGTTTCATGCTGCATCGCGAAACCGCTGCAGCGATAACATGAGGTGGTGCTGTAGACCTATAGAGGAAAACTGGCCGATGGCTTACGACGTAGTGAAAGTTTGCTATTTGTCTGAATGCGATAAATCACCAATCTCCCTCTCTCTCAACATACCTTACTAGAGAAGCCTACTTGCTTAAGAACCTGGCAGTAAGTTTTGTGATCTACTGTCGAGGCTATTTCAGCCCAATTCCAGCCGGGAATGGAATGGCAACACCCCAGGGCACTTATCTGAACCAGCTTGCCAGTTTCCCGGAGTTCGAGAGATT